TTGAAGGAGGAGCCGGTTAGTTGGGCGTGTGAATTGTGCGGCCGAGCACTGGCCACGAGAGAAGAGTGGATGCAGCATGCTCGGTAATTTTTGATTGTGTTTGCATCTTTAGCGTAGATAAATATTTCGCAATTTTATCCTATCCTATTGTGACATTTTCACTTAAAGAAGAGAGACGAAACGATATTGAAAATTTCGTACGTGATGCGTATAGGCGTATAGTGAATGTAACAAAAGCTCTTTTAATCTGACTATTAATTTCTGTTATAGTTCTCACTTGGAAGCATCGGCTCCGCCACAACACGCAGCGCCGTATTTCCCAGGATCCACAGCTCCTCCGCAGCCGTACGCGTCTGAAAGGCACTTTTGTCTGATGTGTCGCACAGATTTCACTGATAAGGCTGAATTCATGTTCCACGTACGTTCCCATTTCGAACCTCACACGCAGCAAACGCCACCGCAACATTCGAGCGGTAAACAGGGAAGCGACCCTGCAACGGCCGAATTGATCGCGCGTGGACTGGTCGATCCTTCGGGATTATGCAGCTAGAACTATCCTTCTTGTCATTACGCGTCATCGATTCGTGTCTTACCATAGTACAAGTTCTCTACTCCATTTCGACCAGAACTTTTACATAGGATTTCATGCGTATTGTGATTGTAATGAATATATACTGATTTATTAGTGAGAGGTACACGGTAGTACATTTCTGTATAAATATCAACGAATACATACAATACAGTCTACTGTTTGTTTTTCACATTATTAAATATATAAACAGAACTAAATGTAGCTTTTGAAAATTGTTGAACGATTCCTTTTGGACGTCACTACGTCGATGGTTGATCGCGAGTCAATAAAATGAAACTGCACCGCTTCCTGTAAAGAACAGAGAACAATATTTTTCACGTTGCGCAACATATCACCGAAATAAAAGATCTCAAGTAATCATAGAAGTACTACTGTGTATCCCCGATATTATACAGGATAGGCCATTTAAATGGGAACATCTAAATATCTATGTTGTTTTTGGAGGTACAGGTAAACTTTGTTAATAAAAGTTATTCAGTACAGACGAAGAAAAATAAGGATAGTATTTTTATGTTCTTGTTGCCCTTGTCTTTCATCCATACATTTCATTTAAAATTACAATTAAAATGTATTGCCTAAAATAATAATTTTTCGATGTATATAGTACTTCTTTGTAGAGAATATTGAGCTGAATTGTAGCAATATATAATTAATTAATTAATTACGGGGGCTGCAATATGACAATGATTTTTTTAGATAAAGATTTTAAGATCGTTTTCACTTTTTTAAACAGAATGTTGTTTGATCTATTAATTGTACATTAACTCATTAATATTATTAACATTAATTGATTAGCGTAATATTAAATTTAAAATTTAGTTTTAATATTGTTTTAATATTGAATTTTAATGTACCGATTGATAACCTTTATTAATATATTTATATCTCTAGAAACAACGAAGATGTAAATGTCTCATCCTGTATACGATGAATCGAGGCATGTGTTATATTCGTCGGATATTTAGATATTGACGCGATACTGAGATACAGGAAAGAGATTCTACTATTGCGCCAATATTTAAGTATTACTTAAATAGTATACGTTCCTAACATAGCTAGCTTCCCGCTATCTTTAGCCATTAGCAATATCCGCTATCCAATGTACAAGTTTGTTCTCAATGCTATTATGTTTTCTTTTCTACACGTTTCGTGACGAACGATCTGTTTTACATGTGTTTCACGATCTG